TGGCAGGTGCCTACACCAGGTCATTGCCTTAGCAGTGGAGGAACAGGGATGCAGTGGACAGCAGCCCAACAGTCCCTGCTTTACAGGGTATTAAAATAACCAGGGGGTTATCTGGCCAGGAGGAAGCCAGCCTGCCCAGAAAGGCACATGGCGTTGTGTCTCCGTCATTACAAATAGATAAAGACCTGCCGTGTGATCCAAATTGAGTAGAGGGTGAGAATTACTAGACACCCACTGCATGGCCACAGCTGCACCTCCCTGCATGGACCAGGCATGACCCTGACCCCTTGCACCCAGGTGAGCAAAGGATTCACAAGGGCCCTGGAAGGGACTCCTGGTTTGAGGGTGGTGTCTGAAGCAGAGTGTTACAGCATGCTTCCACCTTATTAGCCCAAGGAAACTCAAAAAGGTCCTTTCACAAAAAAGTCTTCATACCTGCTGGTCAACAGCCACAGCATCTAGTCCATTATACATAATATTGACCCAGCCATCCTTGGAAGCCAGGACAAAGAGGGACATCAGAGCCTGCAACATACAAAGCAAAGCAGATGTGGAGCAGATGTATCTGGCAGGCTGGGAAAAAATCGTGAGTTTACACTCTAACACAAACAAAATTGAAATACTCTTCCTGCCTGTGTCTCTGCACACATCAAAACCTGTTTCTTCCCCCGTGGAGGAGAGGGAGGGGGGACAGGAAGCCATGTGCAGCCAGACCCACCAGAGGAGAGAGGTCGTGAAGAACATCTGCTTCGTGGCAGAAGGAAAAAGAAAATCAAGCTCTCTGCTGCCACCACTTTTCTCTCCCCCGCAACCTGTAAGCATCATCCTGATACCAACCCACTGGAGACACAGCTTCTGCATGGATACCCATGCCAAATAACCGCCTCTCCTGACCCAGGGATCAAGCTTTCCAGGCATTGCATCTGTGCCCCGGGGAGGGGTACTTATAGGAGGAGACGAGCCTTGAGCTGCATTCCCATCAGAGACAGAGGCTGCAGGCACACTCACCTGTCCCAGGTTGTCAAAGTTATACTTGTGGTGCACCCACTTGTAGTTGGCAGCCATGCAGTCAGACCGGTTGGTGATGTTCCTGATGTCGACTCCCAGGCAGTGGTAGAACTTGCCCTTGAAGAGCTGCAGGAGGGGAGTGACCCCATCAGACCCTTTCCCCCCAGGGTCCCCCATGCTCCCTGGGATGTGCAGAAGCTCCTGAGTTGCTGAGTGGGCTGCAGGGCTGCAAGCCAGGTGGAGCCGGACAGAAGGGGAGGACCATTTCACGGCATATGCTCACACATTGCTAAGGAGCCAGGGCCACCCTGATAAACCTACACCTGGCTTTTCAGCCTCCTCCATTGCCCCGGGCCAGCAATGATTGTAAGCCCTCACCATCTGACAGCTGTTAGGGCAGCCTTTCTGGACACAATTAGAGCCACCAGCCTAAAATGAAAAAAATCTTCTATTCAGTCCCCAAGAGTAACCTCCCCTGCTTGCTTCCCAGTTACTGAGAGAGCTGATGGGAAAAGAAGATCTCATCTGAGGGTGAAGAACCAGAAAAAACATCCCCTGCTTCTCAGATGCTTTTTTTTGCAAAGCTGCACTGCACTGCTGTGGCTCTTCTGCCCAGGGCTCCTTTCCCCATATGGAAGGTACTGGATTGTGCATTTGTACAGATGCATCAGAGCAGACTAAGTATAGCGCATTCCCCGAGATGGAAGTAACGCCCACACCCTTGCTCCTCTGCAATGCAACAACCGAAAATAAAGAGGATTAAACAAAGAAATAAAAGAAGGTCGTGGGTGGATTTAGGGCTCAGAGTGAGGGGGAGAAACAGAGCTGACTGGAGGCAGGGTTCGTGCAAGCAGGCGCTGAGCTGCTTGCTCTTGTGGTGTGGCATGGACGTACCCAGCGAGCTCTGTGCTATGCCAGCCCTGGGCTCTCCCTGTAACACTGATCCAACTCCTGCCAGGCGTGAGCATTAACTCCTGTCTTGCACATCCAGCAATGCCTGCACTCGCTGAGCACATGGCTGTCTTTGCCAAAGGCTGCAGGGACATTGTGGTGGGAGACAGCTCATGGAAGAGGGCAGCTGCAGAAATTTTCCTGGCTTGCCTGTCCCTCTGGTTCTGCTCGGTTCCCTGTACCTGTACCTGGGGGTACAGGTGCCCATGGTAGGGGTGGGGACACGGGGGCTGTTTGATGGGCAGTAATAACCCTACCTGCACACCCAGGATGCCAAAGATGATGAAGAAAGCGCAGCAGATGAGGACGATGTTTCCTATGGGCTTGAGGGAAGAAATGAGCGTCTCCACCACCAGCTTCAGGCCAGGGGCTCGGCTGATGACTCTGGAAGGGAAGGAAGGGGAGGGGTGACAGAGGGACAGGGCAGGGATGTTTGGCCTAAGCTAAGCGTTTTCAGCAGCAACGGACCCCTGCTCTCCCTGTGCAGTGACCTATCAGTGGGGATCACTTTCCTGCAACCAAAAAGCCTCTTCTCTCCCATGGGTTTGTTGTCTGACGAGGTACCTCCAGGGCCAGAGCTGAATGGCCGAGGGGAACCTCCCTGTGGCTTGTGGCAGACCACACTTTGCCTGGCACAGTGGGGTCTGACTCTGGGACCCTTCCTGGAGGGGGCGGTGGGAAGAGGGGGCCAAGCAGGGTTCAGTGGGGCTCTGACCGGAGGGGACGTAAGGTGCGCAGCAGCCGGAGGACCCGCAGCACCCCCAGGATTTTGGCACCGCCAGCAGAGGCCACCGAGACCACAATGTCAATGAGAGACACGAAGACCAAGAAGCCATCCAAGATGTTCCAGCTGCTGCGGAGATAAGCCTGATCTCCAAAATATAGGCCTAGAGAGACCACCTGCAAGACAGGGGAGAAGACAAGGGGTTAAATGGCTCCTCTCCATGTTGCCTGGTAGAAGGCTGCTATGGAGAGAGGGGGAGGATGGGGAACAGTTATCAACTCCATGTGACACTGGCGTGTCATCTCATCATCTTTTCCTTTCACCTGGAAGGCTATGAAAATGTCTTTGGGGAAAGTGGTGGCACATAACTCCAGAAATAACAGAGCCATGGTGTCTTCTCACCTTTCCTCTGCCTCCCTGAGCAACAGGACACTGTAAGGAACACACAGGAAACCTTTCCCTGACATACCACAGACCTGGAGCAAGTCTCCCAGTCCGGAGATCACCTGGGAGGTAAAATCGGGCACCAAAACCCACATTTTGGCTCCTAAGGGAGTGGTTCGACTCTCAGCAGTTCTCAACACCAGCAGGTTCTACAGACATCGCTGGCCTTGGGGAGAGCTGAACACCCTGCAAATCATGGCCATAATTTAGGTATGAATTTTAGGGGATTTAAGTTCAGGCACCCAGTTTTGAGATTGTCTTTACCCAGTTTTGGGGCTCCTTCCCAATCACAAGAGGGGAATAACAAGATTGCCCTATTGTCGCAAAGTACTTAGACACCTATTAAATAATTATCTCAACTAAGAGCATGTTATTCATATTGTTGTTATTTTCCCCATTCTTGCTCCAGGAGGAAGGGAATGGACATTTGGCGTTATTGCAAAATCCATACCTGGAGGCCAGCTATTCCTCCCAGATACTAAAATCCCTTTGGATTTAAAGCCTAGGATAAACATCCCCTCCATGCCTGACAAGAGGGGACTCAACCCCAGGCAGTATCTGCCTTTACCAAGGTAGAGGGAAGGATTGGCACACTGAAAAGATGGAGAGATTTTAGAAGGGTGCTGAGCAAACACGAACCATGTTGTTCCTGACACTGGGAAAAGGCTCTGAGCTGTTCATCTCCACAGTAACTTACCTTCAGTGTCATCTCAGCTACAAAAATTGCTGTGAAAATGTAGTTGGACACAGTGAGAAAGATTCTCTCCTAGAAAAAAAACAGAAAAAGGCCTTAAATATATCTTGACTTCTTCTTGATCTGAAAGTTGGGGAAATAAGAGAGGTGCCTTTGACAAAGGTCAGTGCTGGGCAGCTTTTAGCTCACACACCCTGGCTCAGCCCTGTGTCACAGCTGGGACAGGATCCTACGCAACTCTGCAAGAGCACAGTGGATGGGATTTGCAATGCATCTTGCAAATCTGGTTTCAAGGATCTCTCTGTCCTGTTCTGCCAGTGCTGTTCAGTCCTGACCTGCTGCGCTGACCTGGGACTCCTTCCCAAAGGGCTGCTGAGCGCAAACCACTGGATTGTGTGTAAGTGCAGTAGAGTCTGGGAGTTAGCTAAGGCAGACATGCAGAAAAAGCCATTTCACTTGCCAGCTTGAGCCATCTCCAAGATAGCTCAAAAGCAGCATACATGAATGATGACATGCCATTCCTAGAGAATGGAAGTTACTTCTGTCCTTTAGTTCCCAGTCCCTGTCCCTTTTGCCAGTTGTCTCTTAACCGCAGGTGCCTGGGGGACTCTTTTACTCTCCAAGAGGGAGGGAACTAGGGTTACTGTATTATAAAGTGGGTTGCCCCATTATAAGACCCTGCAGGGGAAGCACACGCTATGTGAATTACTAATACTTGGGCATTTGAATAGATGAGTGGGAGCTGGTGTTTAATGCTGAAGTTCTTCCAGAGGTCATACCAGTGCCAGGAACACTTACGAACCTCTGTCAGAAGTTGGGCTAAAAAGCAGGTGGGAGGAAATGGTGCTCACCGTGCTTCTGTGTTCAATCTGCGGTCTCTCCAGGGCAATGGTGATGCAGTTCAGGAAGATGAAGGCCAGCACAACATAGTCAAAGAGCTTGTGGGCAATGACGGTTTGGCAGAGGAGGCGAAACCTGCAAGAGAGTTCCAGTAGGCACCTGTGCCTTGGGCAGAGCAAGGTTAGGACCTATGAGGACAGAGAATTGAGAGGTCTGGCCAAAACTGAGTTCTGACATAGCAGCTTTCCTATCACTGATACTGATGTCCCTCGCCATGGCAATATCCCAGGGTGGCCCATGGTCACACAGGGAGCCTGGAGCAGAGCAAGGGCAGAGCAAGGAGCTGAACCTTCATCCATTGCCCCAGTGCCAGAGTGTTTTTCTAACCACTACGGCTCTGTGCTCCTCTCTTGCCCTGTAGAGAAGAGGCTAAGTTTCAGTTTTCCTCCCAAACTCACACTTCGTACCACCCCAGGGCAAAGAGGCCACATACTGAAAGCTGAGGAGAGGCAGGTAGGTTGGCTGTCATGGGGACCACACTTCTGTCCATTCTGAAAGACACTGTACCTATGGGCATAGGTGTCACACAGAGCAAAGAGCTCTCACCTGTAATGAAACCCCCCTTCTTTTCAAGGGGCGATGTACATGGGTGAGAATACTGTTGGCTGGAGTACACGGACATTTTCTCCTGATGGGAAGACCCCTTTAGCAGGAAGAATTTAACCCAAATTTCTTTTTTTCAGGCAAGAACAACTCTAACTTTGCCCTAAAAGGTGTGATATGACTGCTGATAAGTTGGTACTGGGACTGAAAATGAAGTGGAGAGACTCTTCTGGTACCAGGGGAGCAAATATAAGTATTATGGAATCATTAATAATACATTCCTTCTCCTTTTTGGGTTAACGTTAGTATTCCCTGCCTCGCTTTGCTATAAATATTTATGATTACACAAAAGAAAAATGGGATGCTCCAAAGGGAAGGAAAATCACAATAGCTATTTAGGATTCTCATCCTTCCTTTCATCTCCAGAATCAAGGAAGAGAACTGTTGTTTGGCTGTAGAAGGGAAGATGGAGGAGATGAAACACATTCCCAGCTGGTAAGTTTAAACTTGCAACCTAACATGCAGCTTAGGGTATGTGGCCAGCATGACAACAGATTCTGCCCCATCTTCTCAACCCTTTCATGGCAAAAACTGCACAAACCTGTTTTGTGGAGAGAAGAGATATATGGACCAGTCTTCCCGTAACTCACACCAGTCTGGCTTATAGACTTCCATCATCTTCCGGATGCGAAAGCACAGGCTCTGGAGGGATGCAGCAGAAGCAAGTGCCACTGGTTACCCTCCCACTTGCCTGAGAGAGGCACTCTTCCTTTCACATCTGACCCCAAAACACCACTACCTGCAGTTCCCCAGGTGCACTACCTGCCTTTCTTCAAGCCCCCAAATGAGGAAATGGACTCAAAGAGCAACAAGCCACTGAAAAGGAGGAAGGAGCTGCTTTGCCAGGGCCTCTTTACCTGTTGGCATCTGGTTTCCTCCCCAGATCATTACAAATAAAACTGCTGGTGTCCTTTTTAGAGCAGGATGTTGTCCATGATGCCTTCTCAGAGCTGTTGGAGTGGCTCTGTTACACGAGGACAGTGCTTCCTTGCTACCTCAGCTAAATGAGAGGCCAGGACAGGAAGGCCTTCTGTTGGCACTTGGGCTCAGAAGCGATTTAATTTCATACAGCATATACGTCTGTTCAAATTTCTACTGACCCTCCCTCCATTTTTTCCACCCTTTGATCTGCTCACAGATTGGGCATTACGGTCTCCCAGGCTGGCACCACAAAACTCACTTGCTTTGTCACTTGTGCCTGTGCTTCCTGCTCTGATCTGCTGATGTTCCCCATGCAAAGCTCTCGCTGCTCACACAGCCTGACTTTTCCTAGCCTGTAGAAATCACTGGCTGCACTGCTCTGAAATAACAGCCCCGAATGACCACGCACGTGCCTTGCATCTGCCTTCCTCCCACCATCCACCCGTACGACTGCCTTGCAGGCAGCCTGGCAATGTGGTTTAAGCTTGTCTGGGCCTAGAAGGTCCCATCCGTGTTCAATGTTGTCCTCCAGCTGTACTTAAAGCACCTTTGCAAGCTCTCCCATCCACGTGGCAGGGAGACTGAAACTTGAGGATGGATTTGGGGTTTCCCACAGCACTGCGGTGTAACCCCAGGTTCCCTCCACCAAGGACTCACATAATCTATTTCTTCATCATCCTCTCCCCGTTCCTTGCGGTTGTTCATCTTTGGGAAGATCTCCTTGGCAATACTGGGCATTTTGCCATTGCAGTCTTGATGCTCGCTGGCCCCGGACGCTGCTCCCAGCTTACGGGTCACTCTGTGGACGGATGGGACCGAGGCCAACTCCAGCAGGTCACAGGCGCCTTTGTTGTCCAGGGAGAGCGTTCGGCGGTGATGAAACACCCTTCCTGCCCCATCCGGCTCCCCATCTGCTGCCCTGTGCCTTTCCCCAGACAGGAGGGATTCGTGCTCAGCGGAGGGAGGTTTGTGCTTCAGGCTGTGTCCCCGGGCCAGGCTGTTCCAGCTGGAGCGACGGCTGCCCCAGGCCCCGCTGCGGCCCCAGGCACCATAGTGGGAACTGCGGGAGCTGGACTGTAAGAGAGCGGGATGGCGACTCAGCGACTCCGGGCACAAGGAGGGAGCATGTGATCCTATCTCAGATCACAGACTTCTCCCTGCACCCCTAAGCCAGGAGGTTGCCATTTTTCAGCCGTTGAGGAAGTGGCATGGTGGGAATTTAGCAGCAATCCCTGTAAATCTGACAATAAATTGATAATGAGTTAGCAATGGTGTTGGCTGTGATTACTTTATAGCACCATCTGTGTGCAGAGCACTTACAGGGAAGGTAAATAATAAAGCCAAAGGCCAGGTGCCTGATGTTGTTACTTACACCAGCACAGAGCAAGAATAAAGCTCTCCAAAAATTTGATTGGCAGCTTTTTATGCTGCCCTGGGGTAAAGGATAACACAAGGTACAGGGTGATGGATAATCTGACACACCATCTTTGAGTACAGTCTTAGAAAAAGGAAGAAATGAGAGAAACAGGCTTGTTGGTTACAGTCTAGTCCAACTTATCATGTAGTACGTGGCTGCCAGCACTCCCTGTTTAGAAATAACAGGGGTATGAACCCTTTAAGCACTGACGCACCCCCCCAAAGCTATGTGTGTCAGTGGGTAGAAAGCCCAAAAGCTGATGTTACAAGGTGGACAGGTCCGAGATGCATTGGCTGGACAGCCAGCAGTGCTTGGGGAAGTGCTAAGGGGCAGCAGGACCTGCTATGGGGAGCTCCAAGTCAAGATTTCTCTCTTCATTGTTACAAAAGCTTCCAGAAAAACCATCTGTTATGGGATTTGACAGTTCTGGCATCACCCAGATATTCCTATGCTCTTAACTCACTCAGGGTTATCATTTTGTGTCCTGTGCTCTAGGAAAACAAGGAAAGGGCAAGAGAACAAAACGTGTTTCACTCTAAGAGGGAGCCTCTGTCTTCTTGGTGTTCCCCCTCTCCCACCAGAAGAATATAAAAGAGCTGAATCCCACACTCAATGGAATATAGATCAATAACCTGGAAATAGATGTCAATAATCTGGAAATTTAGATAAATAATGTGAACTGACCTGGCTTTCTAAAGACAGGCAATGTGCTTGTGTTAGAAGCCTACAGCAGCAGTGCAATCATCCACAGCAATCCCCAGATGATGGCAGAAAGACAACAGAGTGCTTGGGCTTCAAAAGAAGAGTATGACACACATTTCTACTCACTCACTCACCAAGGACCGCTGGTCATAGGTCATCCTCCCCAGGGACATCACACTGCTCTTCCGGGAGCCAACAGCAACACGGATCTGGTCAGGCTGCAGGGAGTTGCGCGAAGAGTTGGTGACGCCCCCAGCAGCTACTGGTGGGTTGGAAGAGGGCAAGGATGGGTCCAAGTGTCCATTAGGTGTCACAGGAATTGCACAGAGCTTGGGATCTGGGTGGAAAGACACAAAAAGAAGAAGAAAGAGAAAAGAAGAAGGTGGGTTCCTCACTATCCAGTGACTGCTTTGATGTCTAAGCTGTTTAGCATGTTAGCAGCAGCTAACAGAATATTAGCTATTTAGCATCAATCAACATTGATTCCTTCTGATTTAGGGTGTTGTGGCAAAAGCAGTGCAAGCTGGGAAGACTTTGAAGTATTCTCCTCTGTCCCCAAAACTGATGGCAGCACTCCTTGGGGCCAGACAGACGAGCAGAGTGCTGGTCAGGCAGACTCAGGCCAACAGGCAGAGCAAGAAGCCAAACCCTGGCAGCAAGGGAAGGAAAGTATGCTTCTGCATGCCAAGAACAGACACCTGCATCTTCAGGTCTGAACAAATACCATCGACTGTCAGACTGGCTATTTAAAGCAGTTAGGCTGAGACACTGAGGAATAGACTAAGATGTGGGGAGACCCGCAGCCATCCATGTATTGGGGTCACCTTTAAATTCCTGCAATCATACTCTTCATCCCAGTCTATCCTACTACACTGTGCCTCTTCAAATGACTGATCATTGACCTTAAAGATCCAGGACACCTTTGAGGGGTATATTAGGTGCTGTGGACTACCATCAGCATTTGTCGAGATGGATGGAGAGGATGGGGTACTGGATTTTAATACTTGAAAGGACTGGAACATTTTTGTTTGACCTATTGCATAATGAAGGTCACATATCCTCACCTGCATGCAGTGTCACAGCCGTGAGTGAACCAACAGGCTCCGTAACCTCTTCCCCATCTGCCCTCCTAGGATTTTGGCTGCCTACATTCAAGGTAAGCTCTGATATGGTGCAGCTATGTAACCCTGGATCAGACTGCTGTGACAACAGCTAAGTTGCAGGAAAGAGCTGTGACAAGACAGTCCTGGAGCTCCTTGCTGTGGGAGCTGCATTTAAGCTCAGACATGTGCCTGTGGTCCTTGTCTGGGTTATGCTGTGAGTATGCTCGTGCCTGTCCTTGCACCCCATTGATCCTGATCTTGTCTTGCTGACTGAACTTCTTGGCTTGACCTCAGACCTGCCTCACCACCGTGGACTTGCCTGGCAATCACTGAACCATTGGCTGACCCTGGCTAGTGTCAGTGGACCTGCTCTGCTCACCTTGTGCAAGTACTGTGCCTTTGTTGGTGTGGTCCCTGCCCTCCTGTCTGGCTGTCCCTCCCCCTCAACTCCTGGCTCGCCATCCATTGAGGAGCAAGCTACTCTTGCTGCTCCCTGCCACCAAGTCCTGCCTGAAGTATAATACCTCTTGTAGAAAGACTTGCAGTCTTCGAGGAAAGACTTTGAGGGGTGAAGACCTTACCTGGCAGTTTGTAGGCAGATTGTTCCAACAGTTAATTATCTTTCCTTAAAATATGTGGGTTTTTTTCAGTCTGAATTTGTCTAGCTTCAGCTTCCAACCTTTACAATCTCATTATGCGTTTTTCTGCTCAATTAAAGAGCCATCTACCATCAGAAATCTCTCCTTATGGTTGGCACTTACAGAGTGTGTCATCAAGTCACTTCTCTGTTTTCTTTAAGCTTCGTTAGCCTCTCGCTATGAGGCAAGACTTCCAGATTTTTCCGAGCTCTTTTTAATGTGTTGGTATCCCCTATCCAAATGTGGGTCTCAGATTTGGACACAGTGTTCCTGAAATGGTGCCCCTGAAGCTAAGCAGAGACAGTCTTACTTCTCACTCCTAGTTGCCATTCTGTAGGTCATTCAAGAACTGCTGCCCTTAGCTATCACATTCCTCAAGATGCCAACATGGCTCTGTTTTTCCACAGATAACACCACAAACTAGCACAAAGTTCAAAATGAAAACCACTAAGTTCTTGGAGATGGGAGTGAATTTTTTGCAGAATCTGCTTTCAGATTTCTCACTAAACAGCAATGGGAGATAAGCAAATAAGGCTGTTTGAGCTATTGTACCTGAGCCTTCCTGGACCTCTTGGAACTGATCTAACTCCTCCACATTGGATGAACTTGGATCTTCATCTGAGTACGACCGGTTGGCATCACCCTGGAATACACAAATTTAGAAGCTGGGAACTCGTAAACAGAAAAGACCATTTGTTCTTGTCTTTCATTGCTAGAACAACTGTAAAATTCTCCTTGGCAGCCAGGCATCAGTGTGATCACTGGTAAGAGTCTCGTGTGACCTGGGATGGCTGACGTACTGTGTTCTTGCTTTTGGAGGGGCAAAGGACTCACCCTAGTAGGGTGTGGTCTGTTGCATAGGATGGAAATTGTGAACTCCCTTCTGGTGGGCTTGTCTCTTTCCTTGCAAGGATCAACACTATCATCTTTTCTTTTTAATGAAGCCCACCCTAACCTTAACAAGGCAAATGACAGAGATGTGATACTTTGGGAGTCCTCCACCCCAGTACCCTCAAAGTGTCTCAAAGGTCCCCTTCTTAGCATGTCTATTCCTCCTCCTGATGAGGCCTTGGTGGCAACTCACCTCAGCCTGGAACCCCTCCACGAGAATGGCCACCAGCAGATTGAAGAGCACGTAATTGCCAAACGTCATGAGAGCCACAAAGTAGAGGGATGCCCATGGCGAGGTGGAAGCCATGCCATTATAGAGCACAACATTCCAGTCCTCCTGGGTTAGGATCTGCAACCAGGCGCAGAAGCCACATAAACATGAAGGAAGAACACAAAGGGGATTCTCAGAAAAGGACAGTGAAAAGATACATATCAGGACCACATCAGGCTCTTAACTTCTCCATAACCACACACCCACTGCCCGCTGTTACTGTCCAGCCATGGTACTGCCCCGACAACGTTAACTGAGCAAGAAGAAACAAGAGTGACCATGAGGGCAGTCATGTGCTGAGGTGACGGTGTTAAACATGGGAGTTGCCACAACAGGAGTGACCTTTGCAAACTGTCTCCTAGGAAGGAAGGAGCGCCCCTGTCTGAGAGATACACCAGTCATTTGGTTATAACACGCAATTGTTCTTCCTCCAAACACCACATACTGGAGCCTTTTGTGCTGCCTTTTGTGCTGTCAGGAGCAAGTGCAATGCTCCGCAATGAGAAAAAGCACCTCCTGATCCTCTTCACTTTGCCCTGGCCCACCCATAGAGAGCAAAGTGGGCTCACCTGGAAGACGGTGACGATGGCCCACAGCAGGGAGTCAAAATTCTTCCGGTCAGGAACTGTATCTCCTGTGTCTGTCCTGAGGCTGAACTTGCAACCAAAGATGTGCATTCCCAGGATGCTGTTGGGACAAGAAGTGGAGGTGGTGTCAAATATAAATATCTGCCACCAAAACGAGCTCGTCAGAATCACTCTCTTTTCCTCCCAACAATCTAATGTAACACCACAGGAGAGAGGGGTAGAACAACACAGCCAGACCACTGGGACCTATCCATGAAGAAGGACCTGTGTATTGCACCCCTATAGCACACCAAAAAACCTTGCTTTCCATCTGTACTGCCTCAGAGCTCACGTATTCCCTCCAACCTATCCTTCAGATCTGCTCTCTCTATCATTCTTGTTTGTTCTCATTTTTCTTCATCTCCCTACCACTGCATCCATGGGATGCACTGACAGACTTTCTTGGTTGCTTCCTGCCGCCCTTCTGCCAGATTCAGTCTCCAGACTGAACTACTCCTGCAGCCAGTGTTGATTACCAAGAGACTGCACCTATCCTGCAATGGGACATTATGCTCAACGTGCACATTTGGTGGCAGTATTTCTCCACCCCGTCCAGGCCAAATCTTCAGCTGCTGA